AATAATTAGTCCTTCTTTTGTTTTGCTTCTCCAGTGATCTCTGCAGACACTTGGCTTTCTCGAGAATGTTTTCGAAAACCACAACAATAGAGACACAAAGTGACATAGGGAATAATCACCCACTTGAAAATAAAGTAATTGACAATCAAGACAGTCACTAATAAACATGCTGCCAATGATGCCAAGCTCACAATGAGTGTCTCGTTGGAGTTTTCTGATGCTGTTGGAAGCGGTGGAGAATTGGCCAAAGCATTCACATATTCTGCAATGGTCTTGACAGCTAGATTGGAATCAGGAACAAATCTATTGGAAATTATTCGAGTCGTCACAGTTTGAGAAACTAATTTTCCAGGAATGAAGAAATTGGCAAGATAGTTCTGAATAATTTCTTCAGTGGCTAATGTAGGTATTAAAATATTTCCAACATTCAAACTCTCAGTCAAGTAATGTGAAACTGTGTATCCTTCGATGGTCGATGGGATTAAGCTCAATAATTTTTCATGGGATAATGCTTCAATCGAGGATTGTAAATCTCCACTGGTGATTACAAATTTGATAGCTGGATTCTTCAAAATTCTGCTTCTCTCCTCAACCTTGAGATCTGAGAAGGTGAATGATGGATATTTAGATTCCAAGTTCTTTGTTACTTCGTTTCTGTTCACCACTACGATATAGTCATACTTCTTTGCCAGCTTTTCCAACACATTGAAGAATGTGAGAATTAATTTAAAACTATCTCTCAAATTCACTAGAAGTACATTCTTGTACTCGATGAGTTTCTCCAACTTCTTAACTTCTGACAAGCGTTTTTCTGGAAGAGCAATCCACTTGACTTGTTTTGTGTACAAGATTGGTGGAACGATTTTGGCATTGGAAGGAAGCATGATACTTTCGTCTTCAGTGACACCAGGAATGGATGTGTAAAAAACATGGCCACGCTTCACTACATCGAGAGGCTTAACAGTGTCGTGCACGCGTCCTGGTAAGTACTGATTTCTTGCATTATTCATCAGGTTATCCCTCAGCCAAAATGCTTCAAATTGCGCTTGTGAAAAATAGTTGGAAATAAAATTCAATGATTTTCCAACCCAACTTTGCTTGTTCATGTACAAGTAATAATTTGTGGAATTGGAAAAATCTGCACTTCCAATCAGATATTTCACTGAATTGGCCATAATTTTTTCCCATTGAGCAGTTGTTGGAGTATTTCTCTTTGTTAACTCGCCCAACAATTTCAAAAACAAAATTTGGTTGAAAGGATTAAATCGAGTTTGTAAAAACTTTCCACTCTGATAATACGTTGGTTGAATGAGTGACAATGAAGCCAGTGTTGGACACACAATAACTAACGGCTTTTCAAATCCAAATGCAAAATCCATAGCACCAATGGAATGACAATCTGTCACAACCACATCAGGCGAAACAATCTCCTCCTTCTCCAACTCTTCTTGTCCACATGTAAACATTGAATTGGTCAAATATGGATCCATCCATTCCCTCTTCATATATTCCGCATATTCAAAGAAAGTTTGTTTCTTCAATCCATGTTCCACAATACTCGTATAATAATTATCCTTCTTGATGCTTCCAGAAGAACCTGATACTCCTCCTGATGCTGCTCCACATTTTCTCACTCGGAATGTTTGAGAAGAGGAAACAGCAGATCCTTTTCTAGGTAAATATTGTTGAAAGGAATCCACGACATCATCATAGGGACTAAATAATGTAACATCCATCTGTTTGGATGAATTTCCATGGGCGGATGATGAAAACCCAATGAGTTCTTCAATCAAAGGCTTCATTTGATCATAAAAGAGAGGTTGAGTAAAGATCCATGCTCTCCTTAATGATGATTCGGAGGAAGAAGAGGCTTGAATCTGAAAAACAGCTGAAATCAGAATCAATCCGAGCAGAAGGAATAATTTGAGAGGATGAGAATGAAACATTTTTTTTTGATTTTCGGAATTTGTGGTCGCAGCAGACGAGTGTTTCGAATCATTGATCTTGTTGAAAGATGACATCGGAATGAGGGATCGATCTGACATGTTTTAATAAATGTTAGTAATAATATATTATTTAAATATTTAGAAAAATAATATTATATAATAATGGATCTCAATGTCCTAAATTGCAACGACACTACGATGGCATCGCATTTGCAACGGCCTTTTTTTAATCTCCATTATTGCGATAGCATTTAATGCGACCAAAAACGGTTGTTGTTGAAAATGTTACAAAAAAATAACAACATTCATCTCTTTGCTTCTCACACGAGTTTTAAAAATAATAATAATTTGAATGTCTCTGCGATGCAACGAATAAGAACACAACCACTGGATAGAATTTGTCCTCTCACAGGCTCCGAGAAGATGGGGTGGTTGTCTGTGACAATATTCATTGCCATGATGATGACGACCCCAATGACATTTGGCATGTCCTTGACCCATCGCGGACTGTCTCGATCACTCACATCATCAAATTTCAAACGAACATCTCTCGTCGAAGAACCTAAATTCACACTCTCCACGAACCAATCCTTTTATCCCAATTTTTCCTTCGCTCCACAATTCGGAACGTTTCGAGTGAATATTCGATATGAAACCATTCCCTTTCTAAACAATGTTTCCTTTTCACTTTCCTATCTAACTGTTGAAAAATTTAATCAAGTCATGAATTTGAATTCTGGAATTTTCAAAGATTCAGATTTTGATGGCGATTTTGATTTATTTCACTTTGATCAAGTTTCCTTTGTTGGAAATTCATATCTTGCTGGATCGAGACTTTCAATTCTTGAATTGAGATTTCCAGAAAATACATTATTGCAGCAATATCGATATGTATTGAGAAAAAGAACACCTTTGGATGTTGCCTATGATTTAACAGTTACGGAATTTAAATTAAGTACTGCGACTAGAATTTATGACAGATTTCTGTCAGGTGCTCAATTTGTGAACATTCCAGTTGGAATGACAGAAACGTTTTATTGTGATGCATGTGTTGCAACATATTTAGATATTAATGATTTGGGATCAAAGGCATCATATTATTTGACAACCATTCCACTTTCGAATAATGTCACCATTAATGCAATTTTCACATTATCCAATGCCATGAATTCCAATTCAGTGAACGTGTGGAAAACATCAATGAGCGTTTCTATAACGAATTCAAAAGTGACCTATTATGTGACTTCTACCTTGAATGCCATTTCAGATTTATACATTCAAGTGACAGCTGTCAATTGTACAGACATCAATGGCAATTATTTACCGCAAAACACATGCCCATTTTCCTTCTCAGTCAAACCTAACAATCGACGTGCTTTCGTATCAGGTATTGATGCTGCCATCGTGGTCACAGCCGTCGTCCTTAGCTCTGTAATCTTCCTCGCGCTCATTATTTCCTCCATTTACTTTTTTTACAGATATCGAATGAGCAAACGTTTCGATCTCCATGAAGATCGAAATGGCAATTTCAGAGACATGTCTTCCTTCGCTCATTTGGCGCATCGATCGAGCGGTGGAGTTAATACCTATGATGAAAGCCGACAACCACACAAATCCAATGATCCTTTCGTTCGATTAGATAAATTACATGGCTATTCATTGGATTCAAGTACTCATTATATCATGGATGCTAATGTGAATTCCAATGCAAGAAATGTTTCTAATAATTTACAAAATGGAATTCCAATTCAAGAAGCATTACAATATGGAGTGGATGTGAGAAAACAAACCCCATTGACACCTCAAATGATGATACCTCAAGTGGGACATATTTTGACCGATTCCATGATTCCTCATTTGGATCAACCAGTGTTACAAGAGGTGGAATTGCAAGAACTGTCAAATGTCACACAGAATCCACTCTTGTTTCATCCATCCATACAAATGAAACCATCAGAACAAGAACCATTTCCATCAATGAATGATTACATCACATCTGGAAATGAATACTTCTCATCACAAACTGATTCAATCGTTGTCGATCCACAATCATCAATGACTGTAAATCAAGAAATGATTCAAAACAAGAACGAACATCAATCATTGGAACATGATCCGTCTGATGTAGCTGCTGCTGTACATTCCAATCCTCCATCTACTTCAACTGCAATTTCTTCATTTCATGAAAATTCATCAATTCTCAATAATTAGAAAATACAATTTTTCACACACAATAAGTTTATTACAAGTGATTGAAAATTTCACACACCTCATTGCTAGAGAAAACAAGTAATTCGAGAACAAGAGAACCATCAGTGTGTGAAACATCTTCTCAACAAATACTACTTTAGAATTTTACATGTAGCATCTTCTTGGAAGTTTACATCTTCGACACATACATCCATATGGATAGGAACATCCACGGAATCTTCTGTAAAAGAAACGTCTGTTTCTATAGTAACATCCCCAATATTGAGTACATCGAATGGTACAACTGTAGATTCCATATTGCTGACGTTGAGCCATGACTCCCATGTGGTTGTTGGGAGAATGGAAATGGATACAACAGAGCAACACCAGAAGGGCTAAGAGCACAAGAAGAAGGCAATATTTGGTTTTCATTGTAAGATATTGACGAGAGAGGCAACTATAATTGCTCGATGGAAGGTTTTTTTGGTAATTGTGGATCGAGTGTGTGCATTCCATGGTTCTCTCAATGATGAAATATGGAGATGCTTCTGGAAAGGACATGTAGAGCAGGTGCTGTTGAAGGGATATAAAATTGGGAAATGGGCATAAATGGTTAAAATACAATTTCACTGAAAATCGATTTGGATGTGTGTATCTCAAGTTTGTGGTGTATCGACCACAAAACAGTTGTGTATTCAATGAAAATTTGGAAAATTACTTGTTTTGGAAAATTCAATTGTGGCATGGTTGTGAAACAAATCATCATGACTCGTTTATTTTGGTGAGATTCCAATGTAACAAATTCAATGAATCATTGTAAAAAGGTGATCGATCTCTTATTAATAAATAAAAAATTAAAATTCATTAAGGCTTATTTTTCACACAGTTCAAAATTTCATCCTCTGACAATTTGTCACCATGTGGTTGTTGTTGTTGTTGCTTCGAACGCTCCAAACAAAGCCTTAAAAGCTCATGAGCTGTATACGAAGCATACAATGCTTGCTGTGAAGAAAGGGATTGATGATTGGAAAGTAAATATTGGAAAACTTGACGTACATTGTCCACAAAATGTGTTTGTTCATGCACATCTCGAAATGAAATCAAAAGTGGTTCACTTAAATTTTTTGGAACAAAGAATGCATGTTGTAGAATGGTTGCAATCGATGGCCTCTTGTTGGGATCTTTCACTAGAATGGTTTTGAGAAGAGAAATGGCTTGTTGATATTCCTCTGCAACAGCAGGAAATGAAATTTCAGAATTTTCATCTGTAATGAGAGAAATCTTTTTGATATGATCCTGAACGTCAGAATAGGGTGTTTTGTGATAAATGGTTTGATAGAGCATAATTCCTAAACTCCAAATATCTCCAGGTGGTCCAAATTTGTATTTTGTTGAGCCGTCATTCACGACATGATTTTTGAAACTTTCTGGAGGAAGAAAATTGAGTGTTCCAACAATGGTATTTCGTGAAATGTTTTGAGTATTTTCATGTTCAGGTACTTTGGCAATTCCAAAATCAATAAGTTTTAACTTTCCATTCACTAATAGAAAATTAGATGGCTTAATATCGGTGTGAACAATCTTCTTGGAGTGAATGAAAGCCACAGCTTCAAGCATTTGTCTCCAATATTGTTTCAATTCGTCAATAGTGAAGGGATTGTCCTTATTGTGCTTTTTTAAAATTGTGTTAAAGTCGTGACTGCCTAATTCCATCACGAGAAGAATTTCATCTCGACTTCGATGAGGTCTGTGTTCATAGTCAATTAATCGAATGATGTTATTGTTGACGTCGTCGTCTCTGAGAGATTCCAATAATTTGGCTTCATCGAGAAAGCCCTTGACAATGCTGGCGTCATCAGTCTTGTCAATTTTAATGTGCTTAATGGCAACTTCTTCATTCTTTTCCAAGTCAATGCACTTGTAGACAGAACAGCTTCCTCCAACTCCAATTTTACGCATCACTCCGTATTCTCGATTGTTGATTTTCACAACGATGGTAAATTTTCGTTTTTTAGTATCACTTCCTTCACTGGAAGGAGTGGAACTACTTGTTGGTGTCGTCGTTGTTGAGGATACTTGTTTGGATGAAGGAGTTGCAAAATTATTGGTAGAAGTTGGCATTTTGGAAGCAAGAATTTCTTCACGTGATCTCTTGAGTGGTGCTGACATTTCCATCGACGAGTTCGTTGTCGTTGTCGACTGAGAACTCGTATTGTAAGGCATGGTTGACACATTAGACACTCCATTCTGTTGCATGCTGCCAATCGTTAATGGAGGAGGAGGACTAAGGAATGAAGGTGTTTGCTGCGTTTGTTGATACGTCGATTGTAAAGCTCCATTCGAGTTCGACACGGGTGTTGCATATGAAGCATTGTTGTTCATCAATGAATTGGACGAATTGGATGAATTCATTCCATTATTGACAGAACTTTCCACGCTGTTGTGTGATGATGGTTTTGTGAATAAATTGGTCCTAGAAGAAGGTGGTCTTGCTGCACTAATCAATTGCAAAGGTCGTTCTTGAGAGTTTAAACCTTGTTGTGAGGGTTGTTGTGAAAGAACATGTGGTTGAGGGGAAAGTCTTCGTGTTGCTCTCGAAAAGAGACCTTCTGTTGGTTGTGGAGGTGAAGATTTGTTTTGTAAAGTGGTCAAAGAGGTTGTTGAAGGAATGGATTTGGTGACAGTTGGCAGTTCAGGTGAAAACGATTTGAAATGATTTGAGGATGGAGGAGGAGTTGGTTTAAAACTTAAATGAAATTGAAAACTTCCCGAATCCAAAATCGAATTCTTCACTTGCAACAAGACTAGTGATTTTTCAAACTTTTTCAAACCTTGTTGAATTTTCGAAAGACTCTTAAACATACGATCCTGATGATCATCATTCACAAACCATTCATATTGAGCATATAAAAAGTAATACGTTTCATCCTCCTTAATAGGATGACTACACGATGAAAAGTATTCAAATTGTTTCGAGAGATGATCTTGCATTTCATTCTCAATATGAGGCATGTTACAATTTAAAAGAGAAACTGCGAGAAGCATCCACATGAAATACAAATCCTTTTCAGTATTCGACATGATACTTGTCGTCGACAAGTGATGGATCATTCCATCTTCAATGACATGAATACACACTCGAATGAATTGAACTTTTTGATCCAAATACATGGCATGAGGAGAACCATCTAATTTTGTATAAACATCGACCAGTTGAGAATAAATTTGAAGAGGAGAGATTTGTTTTAATTCTTCCAGAGTTGGAACGAAAATATAGGGTTTACTTTGTCGGAGATAGGATCCGAGGGTAGGCTTATTTGATGATGATGATTTTAATGATGATGATGATGATGTTGAGGAAGAAGAAGGAGGTTGGCTTTTTTTGGAAGAAGAGGATGAATAGGAAGAAGAAGGATGGAGGAGATTTTCCTTGTTGTTGGTGCCAGTGGTGTGATGATTGTTGGTGCCAGTAGTGGTCGTGGATGATGATGGGGTCGGAGTGGCCAACATTTTTTATGTTAAAAAATTTGAAATTTATAACGGATTTTTTTGGCGGGAAGATAATTCTTGTGTGGACCTTTGAAAATCGATACTTGGTATTACTTTTCTTGCTTTGAATTTGTGGCATTTGACAGCGAAGTTGTCTCATCGAAATTATCTCTTTCAGCTTTGAAAAGGAAACACCCTGAATTCATGAATGAGAGAGATACATCTCTTGTCTCAATGAAGCGGTGTCTCATTTAACCGTTGTTCTTTGACTTTGATTTTGACAGAAAAATGTCAGAACGACCCATCACCTTGATTGACCCAATGGTCAATGTTACTTCGATCGATTACTTTTTACCGTCTTATCTCAATGCCATCTCGCTAGCCAACAGTCTCTTCTTTTTAACTTGTTATTTCATCTTTTTTTCTTGTTTTGGAATCATGCTATTCATCATTACAAAAAAACGAAAAATATCACTCAAGAAAAATCCCAAAATTTTATTCATTCTTGTGGCCATCTTTGTTTCGATTCAATGTGCCACTTTATTTGTTAGAATTGTTTTTGATTCGTGGAGTATGGACGCGAGAGCTCTCAAAGAAAAAGATTCTCAACAATTGTTCTCAAAAGGATATTTCTTTTCGTTGAAAGCAGTTGGAGCTTTGACTACGTTATTGTCGACCATTAACTATGTTTTTGTGTTTGTCATTTTGTTTCATGTTCAAATGGTGTTGTAAGTTTTAGCTGGAATTCTGAATGTTGTAAAATTTTGTAAAAACTTGGAAATAGTTGGACATCAGCTCAACAATTAGGAGCTCTGTCAACCACTCTCTATGAACGCATTAAGAAGGTTACGAGCGCACTGTTTGGCGTTTTTGCCTTCTTCTCTTTGATGGCAGTTTTGACAGCGACAATCGCTCAACTATTGAATGACACAACCGTAATTTCTTCATCAACCATGGCCATCATACTCTATTCATGTTTTGCAGTATTATGCAGTGCCTTTCTCTTTGACATCATTCTTACCTTAATGAGTGGATTTTTCATTCTGAAAGGAATTCTCAAAAATTCATCCTACTTCAAATCTTTCAAACTCCTTTGCTCCTGTAAACAAAGTAATCCCTTCCTCGTCACTTTCGGCTTAATGATTGGATTAATTTTGTGCGTGTGTGGTCAATTATTGGCAACTGCCTTAGTATCGGTCGCAGGTTCGAGTCGAGGAAGTGGCCTTAAAATTTTGTGGCATTTTCTCAGTAGTGCTGCCGTGTTAATCTTTGCAACGTTGAGCTTGTTGTTGTTCCATCCCATGTTTGTTCAGACAGAGAGGGCTCTTTCTCAAGTTCAACATTATAACGATCCACCCTCAATATCCTCAATTCAGGATTCCATGGAAAAAAAGGAAGGAACGAATTCAACGTGCTTGTCCATCTCACCTTCGGTATCCTCTCCAACTCCTATTTTGAACGAATTACAAGTTTAAGAATCGATATTATTCAATTTATTCATGCTTGTTCCCATGAACACTTGTCGATGGAAGGACATTTTGAATCCAATACAAAGTCATTCTCAGAAACCACTGCACGTTGTTCTGAAAAAACTGCATTCATGTATTCTTTTCGATTGGCATTATCAGAAATCTCATCGGCTTCAACGATCCAACAATTTCCTGGATGACCATTCACTCTAGAAGTGACAAATCTTGTATTGACAAATTGTTGAGAATTATAGACTTGATCCGTAAAGAGCATAATGGGATATAGACCAATGTTGGAGGTTTTCACAGTGCTTCCTTGAGCACAGGTTTTCTTGAAAGGAGTGCCTCCAGTATTTCGTTCTTTTCTGCATGAACACAAAGTAGAATTCCATCTATAGATGTATTTCATGGATAAATCCGAGGACAAGAAACTCAATATCGAATACGATGGTTGTGGATATTCATTGAAATAAACTTGAAGATAATCCTCTCGAATTCTATGTTGAAGAGAGTCCACGTAAGTGTGATGCACAGTCAATGTTGTGAAATTGGCTTTTAGAGCATTGGAAGATGTGGCAGTTTGTGTTCGAACGTGATGAGAATATTGAGGAGGAAGACAACATTGATGTTGACCAGTGACAGTAAGTACTTGCAACGAGAGCAAACTCAAGACGAGAAGGAGGCAGCAGGTCCAAGTTGTTGAAATCATTTTTTTCGTTCCAGTTCTATCCTCAACTATGTCTCACTATCACGACGCACAAGCTCTTCGTTTATCACGGTCACCCAACTCCTCAACACAACTTCCTTTTCAAGCATTTAAAGAAAGTCTGTTAGCCTACACGAAACTTGCAATTGGATCAAAAAAAATACTCTCTAAAACACTAAAACCATGAGACACCTTCCTTCCATCATTTCGTTCCTTCTTTTCACATCCTCTCTCTTGATTTTCTTCTTTGTGCAATTCTCAGTGCAGGATTACACTCTTTGTTGTTTTCCGTTTGTATATTCCCACAAACGATACTGTCCTCAAGTAGATTCTCAAATATACTATAAAAGCAATGAGTCTGAAGTTTATACCATGCACGCTCAGAAAGATGTGACTCATCAACGAGCTCGGTATGATGTCTATGATTATTTCAAAAATGGTCAACAAAAAGATTCTTACACAACTGTATTGTTCCGAAGTCCAGTCGATAAACTGGCCTACGTCTTTACCAATACTTCAAGCAGTTGCACTTGCTACAAATTCAATCCTACGGGACCTATTGTTCCAGAGAGTTGTGTAGAGGTGTATGATGACTCTGTGGTCAATAAGACTCAAATGGGTGGAATTCCAATGACTCGTGTTATGAATAGTAACAAGTATTTGGATGAGAATCTTTTGGCAGAATATCATGTCTATGCAGCTGACACTGGACTCGGTGATCGTACATGTTGGTTCTTTTTGGAAACGTTTTTCATAACATCAACCAGTTCAGATGATACAACTCGGTTCAGTGCCATCCAGAGTTATTATGATCAATCTACAAAGGTGGATCCTAATGCATTTGGAGTGGATGTGAAATGTCCTCCACCAGAAAAATGTGACTTAATTCAGGAAAATTCTGCAGTGTTGTTGGAATTGAAGAAATTGGAGCATGGTCATGCATATAGAGAAAGAAGCAGGAAGAGAAATTAAAGATGTGATGTTTTGGTCGTGCAATAAATCCACACATTTGCTTTCCATTCTTTGTCGACTAGTGTTCATATCTTTTGAAAGTCACTTCTGAATATCCTTTAATTTCTTGGTCGATTTAATTTGCAGATTTCAGTCCATTCGTGACGAGAAATTTCATAAGGTTTGGTCATTTCCATAAACTTTTCGAGTGGAATTAAACCAGTCTTTGAATCTTGAACAAATTGTTCCTGTTGCTCTGGTTTCAAAAACAGTGTCTGGTTGTTGTACACAATTTTCACAAACTGTTTTGAAGGATTTTTCTTGGTAGCATAGAGTTCAAAAGCTAATGTGGCTGCAAAAGCTGGCCACTCATCATTGTACATATTCAAGGCAAGTAATAGTGGCATAATGGTGGTATCATGCGCAAGGTAAACTTCCATTTTTCTTTGATCCAACTCTTTTTGTAAATGCTTGTTGCCACTCTTTTTCATACTTGTCACCAAATGCCTCAAAAGCATGCCGACATTCATTTTAAGAACGTCATCTTGTGCCGAAAATAAAAAAGATCCGCTTTTTCCAACATGTTGTGAAACATACTCCACATCTTGAAGAGTAATGCCTTTTGGTAACTCGTGACCATGAAAAAGCATACCAAGGAAGGCATTGTTGATGGATTCCCATTGTTGCAAATCTTTTGCATTATTCACACGTTTTGCTTCAAGTAAACCCTTGTCATGAATTTCTGATGTTTGTGATTGGGCAGGTTGTGGCTGAGCAGAATTAGCTTCCAACAAATCAAGTAATTTATCCTTAATTTCAAGGAGTCTTGGATCCTTTTCAGTCTCCTCTCCCAACGTTTTAAGTCGTTTCGAAATAATGGACCCTAACTTGGCACAAACTTTAAAGTGGCCATACAATGTCTCTCTAGATTCTTCAAACATGTGTATGGTTGGGTATTCTTTCACATTCTCTCCTAACAGGCCCAATAATAAATACATGGCAGAGTATTCTGTTCTTCTACTTCTAATATCACTCGATCTAACATACATTAATTTAACAATTTCATCAACTGATAAATTTCCAAACAATTTTTCCAAATACTGATCTCTCAAAGATTTTCCAACTTCAACCATTTGCAAAGAACCTTTTGCTGTGAGCTGACCTTTCATGCAATTTCCATACAATTCTAACCCATCGTCTGTTTCCATAACAGCCTTGAAATGTGCATGATTATCGCCAATCAAAACCACTTTGGAGTCATACGGTAAACATTCCCATGGCTTACTGTCAATAAAACTCGGAATAGCATTGATAGGTGTTCTTGCTCCGTGGCGATTAATAATTTGAACTTTAATCAATTCCAATTCATCCTCCGATTGAATATCTCCAAAATAGAATTGATACAAATCTTCGGCTTGCAATGGACTGCTTCCAATCCAATTCTTGAAATGATCATCTTGGTTTGAAGACCCATCAAGCTTCGTTGATTGATCTTCATCATGATGAAAAATTCCATACAAGCCTGTTGCTAAAGCGAGAGTACTCCCAATCATGAATACTCGTTTTCCATGATGGATTTTCTGACTCGTGTTGAGAAATGAAGAGGATGAAAAAATCTTCGTTTTAAATACTTTTCCGAATAGTGATGATGTAAAGGACATTTTTTTTGAGGAACTTGCCTCAAAAACAATGTTTAAATGTGCAATTGTCCAGAATTCTGAAGGTTCATCAAAGGTCTTGCATTATAAGCAATAAAAAGATGACTTAAATGTTGTATTTAAAGTTCACATTTTATTACAACAGCAACAATGATTTATCTCTTGGTTGCTGCATTTCTTTGACAAGCTTTAAACACTTGTTCTGTCGAAGGTTTGGCAGCAATGGTCGATCCATAACTAAATGTTGTGGCATCTGTGTTACCGACACGAGCACAGCTTGAGGTAGCAGTGGTAAACAAATGGGTAGGCACGGTAGACATGGAATTACATTTCATAAGGTCGCTGGTTCGATTCGACGTGAATCCAAAAGTTTGCACTTGTTGAACCTTTGCATTTTCTGTCAATTTGTTCATTTGTTCCAACAATTCGTCTTGTTTCATGGTTTTCACTCGTTCAACACCTAATTCTTTAATCTTCTCGGCAATGAGTTGATCCATTTCATCATCTTCAATACATCCATTAATAATCAAATTTGGAATTTTGTTGGCGTTGGTCAATAAGAGAATTTTCCATTGGTTTTCGTAGCCAAATAGTCCATAAATAAGATCAATTGTTGATCCTTTTGTGATCGTTCACATACGAGTGTGTAAAAAACACAACCCTTTTCCATGACGTAATCGGCGAGTTTGATCCAATCAATGACTTGATTGTTTTCATCTTTACATCCTTCTGGATAACTGTCACCGCTCGCTCCCATTCCATGAGGTGGAGCATCTGCAATCCAAATGACAATTTTCTTTCCGTTTTTGTTGAATGGCATTTCTGAAACAACTTTCAAAGCACTGGCCAATGCTTCAGGATAGTCACCACCTCCTATGGCACTCATTTCCTGAATGTATGATTTGGCAACTGAAACGTCACGAGTGAATGGATATTCCTTGACAGCATGGTCATCCGAATGATCTCGATAACTCACTGCTGAAAATCTCAAATCGGATTTGAAATGATCGTGGAGTGATGAAATGATGGTTTGAATGGTGTCTTTGGCGACATTGATTTCACCAGACATGGATCCAGTATTGTCACACACAAAAACGAGATCGACAATCTTTTCACTGAAATCGACCAATTCTTGTTCTTGAGGAGTCAATGCGGGATGTTGTGCTTTCAAGATGGCTCCTCGTGTGATTGTAGGAGTCATTTGAGGAAGGGATGGAAATGAAAATGTAAAGGAAGAGCTAGTTGTGGATGGTACTCTCGACATGGCTATTGTTGTTGAAATTGTGTTGATCTGTTGTTTTTTTGTTGTTTTTTTGAACGCGTACCAAAGTAGCTTTTTATGCTCCACAGAAACGTCCCCACCGAGAATTCCTAGTTCTCTGTTCAAAGGAAATCCTGCTTTTTGTGTTACATACAGAAATGTCCTTACTTGTGTTCATAAGTGTTTAATAAATTAAAGTTCACAATTATATTTGGTGGATTAAAGGTTGTTTTTGAAAAGACTGGCGTCGTCTTCTCTGCTATCGAGAAGTCCAAACATGTTCGAAATTTTTGCAAATATCGAGGACATGGATGGTAATTGAAGAGAGGACGATCGTGTTCGAGAGTCACCAGCAATATGACTACTACTTCGAATCTTTCTCAAATTTTCTCGTTGAGTTCGTAATGCTTGCTTTTCTTGTTCAGTTAATGATACGAGTTCGTATTTTGCCTTGAGGTTGGTCATGAGACGTGAGGTGAGTCGTACACTGAAGGCATATTTGAGAAGTGTTTCAACATCAGTTTGTTCTGCATTTTCATAAATTTTTGATGTCACTTCGGTAGCATTGCATCCCATTATTTCCTTACGTGATAATTTCAGTAGTGCAACAATTAATCGTACCATACTGCATGTGTTGATACCGTCGCCGACAAGTTAGTGATTCATTCAATGTACAAAAACATGTCTTAAAATCATGATAGAGCTCACAACAAGTACCTACATTTTCCATCCTTCATTCAAAAATATAGACCAAATTCTTTGTGAGGCCGTAAATGTAAATCTATTCGTACATAGTGTCATTAATATTGAACTGGCATACATTTCTGGTAAAATGTAATTTTCTTCGAGATGCTTGTGAATATCTGGCAACCGTAGCTTGACCAATTCAGAAACCATAAACATGACCATTCTTAATCGAGGTAAGCCATCACAAAATATATCTTTCAGGCCGTGTTTCGCATTATTCATGATTTGAACAAAGAACCAAAATGTGTCCTCTTCGTCTTCAAGGTTCATTAAAGCAAAGCCACATATAAAAGCCATTCCTTGACAGTATCCTGTTTGCTTGTCAAAATAGCAATACGCTTTTAGAATACGACACAATGCTTTTTGACCTGGCCCGTCTTTTTCGCTAAAAAATTCATATTGTGGATACGTTCTATACACATCTTTCATAATTCTATGAACGTCGTCTTCTAGAATTGTTTCATCAAGTTGTGTCAGCTTTTTGTACAGACCCGGATATTTGTTGGATAATTCTTCGGATCCAACCATACGCTTCCAAATGGTTTTCATTAACTCTTTTGTTGGAATTCCTTCTCGAATGAGCTTTCGGAATTGTTTCGGATTTTTTGTCACATATTCATGATAATTAGAGGTAATTTCTTCAAATTGTTGAATTCGTTTCGAGTCGTGTTTCGCTTCAAAAATTATTGAGCTATATACTTTGGGAGTATTTGTCTGTGAATTTTCATCAAGAGAATGTTCTCTTGGCGATCGAATCTCATTCACAGAGGGATATGAATTGATCGCTTCGTTAACGATCAGAATCGAATTATTTCTTGCTGTTGACGTAGAAGATGTTGGAGGTGTCGTTTTCCCATCTTGCTCTTCTGATTTTTTCACACTCAAAATATCAGCAGCACACAAGGAAACCCGTCTCGATCGTGCATTAAAGTAATTGTCTTGAATTTGATTGGAAAGCTCATCTTGTTGCGACTCATCTTCGGAGCAGCATGAAGAAGAGTCATCACTCTCATCCTCTTCATCAAATCCATTCGTAGACGCTTCATTCATAGAAGTAGTGGAAGAACTAGTCATGGAAGTGAGAGGTAATCGTGATGAAATTCTTCGTTTCCGCTCTTGTGGTTTGATCGTTGGTGATGAGTCTAGATTTTCTCCTGTCGTCGTCGTGGTAGTGGTGGTGATGTCATTGTTACTTGGTGTTGCAGGTTGTTTTTCCGTTACAGGATCATGATGTTGGCTCATCAAAGGCTCATCAGCAAATGAAACCACTCCATAAGGCTTTTTGGAAGTGGTGGTTGAAAATGGATCATTGACTTGTTGTGATGATGATGAGATTAATAAATTATTGTGTTCTTGTGGATGCATGATTGGTTCATCCCGATGTTGTTGCTCTTGTTCTTGTGGAATTGCAATCATGGATGGGTCTTGTTGATGATAGGATCCAGTAATTTCTGCTTCTTCACCATAGGATGAACGTGCATCATGGTTGATTATAATGGACCCAGACGATGATTGAGCGGTTGTGTTCGTTCGTGATTCAATGTCCTCTTCATCATGGCTGCAAGATGGTTTTGGAACAGCGTTATTATTACTGCAGGACATTTTTTGTTTGATTTTTATTGATATTGGACCCAGAGAGTAATTGGATCTTTTTTGATCGAACGAATGGTCTTCGAAAAAATGTCTGAAAACCAAACCGCCCTCGGCGATGAAGACACTTATCACCTTCGCCATCACGCCTCTATCAAAGAGGTCGCTGATCGCCCGCATACTGCAAACAAATCTCTCTCTGCTCAAAAATCGGCACATGATAAATTGAGAGAGGAGATGGAAAACGAAATTTTAGAAACTCCGTCCTCCGTCAATATAGCCAATTTGTCGGTAATACAACCCAGCACTGTATGCAACTCTCCTATGTTGTCGCAACCGGAGGTCTCTAATATTACTACAACCTCTGGCGTCTCAGTTTTTAGTACCTCGGCCATGACCGACGACCATTCTACCAAACTGAAGCGACATCATAAACTCTTCAGAGTGGTGGCCTTTACTACCAACTCTGTCGAAGAAGTCCTTGCAACCGTCGCAATGAATGCCGATGCGTTGTACGGTAGTAGAGTTGTCAGTGAATTGGAGTGCATTATTCTCTTCTTCAAGTCGCGCAAATTGGCAAACCAAGCAATATCTTCTGGTGCTAAGTCCAAGCTAACCATGATTCCTCAAACCGTCAAAACGTCATTCCGTTATAAGGTCGACAAAGACTTAGATAAGACTAATATGCACTCTATTATCTCAACTCTTGGTACTTCTATCAACAACATCAATTTTAGCAAGATAGATGATCAAGAGTTTTGGGCTATTGGTACTAATATTGAATTACCAGCCAATCATTTGAAGAAATTTAAGCTTTCCAAAATGAGAACAGATATCTCTCGTTTCCGTATCGCCTTTAACGGTAAAGAAAAAGATCTTCCTAAACTCAAGGGTGCCATTAGTTCCCAATGGAAAGTCAAGATTGAGAGTATCGAGTTGGCTAATAAGGTGGCTGTTGTTGGTGTCAAAAAGGATCAAATCACCAATAACATTACCAAGTTCGTCCAAGTTGGAAATCATAGTTTCAGAAACCTCTCATTCTCTACTAGAGTTGCCAACTCCATCAGTCACAGAATGGAAGCTGTTGAAAAACAAATGTCTGAAATGTCATCAGCTCTCCAAAAATTGACAAAGGAAATGGCTGTCTGGTCTGGAAAAAAGGTCACTGAAGGCTTTAATAAGATCAACAAAGCTATTGAAGAAATTAACCAAAAAGTCAACGCTCTCTTAGGCACTACTACTCGCAAGAGTAAAAGTGGGCATAAGAAGGGCCGACATTCCCTTTAATGGCCTCTCATTCTATAAGAAACTCCTTCAATTTAGGTACTGCTAATTTCGGAGGAGTTGGCTGGGTAAAACAATCTCAATTACTTACCCTAGCCCGAAAATATGAACTGGATATCCTTAATATCCAGGAAACTCATTTAAAATCCAGTACGGAAGACTATTGGAATGTATGGTATTTCAGGTCCTTCTTTCGTGGCTACTTAGTCTATACTTCCAACGCCACCGAGGGAGATAATGGAGCAGGAATTGCTACTATTGTCAAACCGTCACCTTTTATTAAGGTACTCCAATTCATCGAGCATATTCAAGGCAGACTATCAGAAGTCATTTTGGAACATAAATGCCTAGGTGTGGTCCGTATTTTCAATTGGTATGGCCCGGCTAACAAAAACAAATTAGAATTCATGAATAAGGCTCTCAATATTATCAACATTGCTGCTCAAACAGCGGTCTTGCATGGTGAACGTATTGTCATATTGGGAGACTTGAATGCCAATACTAAAACATTCAATAAGGTATCCTATGCTGCCCATGAGCGACTATTAATTGACCAATGTGACAAATTGAAGCTCTTTGATGTTGTTCCCATTCCAAACACACCTTCGTTCTCTCAACGCAACAAATACTCTCATGGTTTTTCTCGCCCGGACCATATTATTACTTCCCACAATGATTATTCTAATGTAGATGATGTTTCTACTGCTTATTCTCACAAACTTTTAACTATCTCCTTTCCCAGTAACCCTATTTTAGACTTCCCAGAAAAGTTCAACAAATATATTATTCATCCTAAAACTCTGCAATCCAAGATGAAGGAAATTAATAACGATTTTGCTATGGACAACCCTAGCACTCTCTTAGAAGCCCAAAATACCCTTGCTAAAATTGTGAAGAAATATGGCTCTCCTAGCACCGACAAGCCTTCATTGATTACTGATAATCGTAATGTTAGACAATTTCAGACGATCATTTTTGATTTGAAACAGTATCTTTATAAGCGTAAATATGTCTCTACTGTCACCAGCCAGTTCTTGAATAATAATTTTAGCCTCAACAATATTAAGGCTAAATTAGAGGAAGCTAAAGCCTCGCTTAACAAGCTTATTGGATCTCTATTGGCTGACCGTAAACGGGTCTTCGTGAATAGAATTAACAATCTTAGCTCTAAACAACCGTACTCCTATGCCTTCAGAAAAGAATTAGTCAGTTCTTCTATACTCAATGTAGTCCAAAGTAACCATAACTCGATAATTGTAGATCATTTTTCAGCCATGTTTAACACAGAACAAGAAGTGACTAAAACCCTTCCGGAAATCAAGAAAAATAATACTGTAGCCCAATGGAAATTCCAACATATCACTGCCAAAGAGTTGGGTAAAGTTATTTCTAAAACAAAAAATTCCATGGCTGGCTATGATAATATCTCGGTGCCGTTGTTGAAAATTCTAGACAACAATTCGCTCCAAGTACTTGCAAAATGTATCAATCACACAATTGACAGTGAAATGGTTCCTAAAGAATTGGGTATTGGTATTCTACTCCCATTACCCAAAGTCAATATGCCTACAAAATTATCAGACTTTAGACCTATAGTAGTATTATCTGTGATCTATCGCCTATTTTCTTCTATTATCAACAAACAATTCATGAATATCCTTGAAGAGGCTAATTTAATCCATACTGCTCAGCGAGGATTCATGAAAAAAGGCTCAACATTAGAGCACCTTATCAATCTTCGGACTGCCCTAGCATACAAATGTCAGCACAAACAAGAAGTATTCGCTATGGCTTTAGATATCAAAAATGCTTATGGATCAGTAATCCATAAAAGATTTATCAGCATTCTCAAAAAACATGGTTTCCGTAGCTCTGTCATTAATCTCTTGACATCCATGATTTCCAATAGCGTTATGAAAGTACTAGTTAACGGATTCCTATCCTCCCCTTTCGATGCGAATGTTGGAGTCCCACAAGGCGACCCTTCAAGTCCAGCATGGTTTAATCTCTATATTAACTCCTCAACTAATATACAAGAAAAACTAAAAGGAGTCCAAATATTTGATATTACTATCCTTTTATTATTATATGCCGATGATATTTTATTGATAGCTAATACTAAGATTGAAATGAATTCCTCTCTTAAAAGCCTCGGCCGAGAGTTAAAGAAAATAGGACTCGCTTTAGCTCCCAAGAAATGCAAGCTCTTAGCTATTACAGCTAAATCTAAACTATCTAAAGCCCTAGTCACTATTGGACAGGATACAATTGCCTCGTCTACTTCTATTGAATACCTTGGGGGTATATGTACCTTTAAGGATAATCTTTCTTGGTCCTCTGATAACCCAGTCAACAAAATCTCGAATCGACTTGCATCAGCTAAAACTTCTAATCTATATCTCAACAGTATCACCACTACAATTATGTCTAAAATTATATCATTGCCTAGATATGCCTGTAGCTTCAATGGAATCAGTAAGAATTCTCTAGACAAAGCAGATATTATGGTTGCTAATTTTATCAGAAAGGCTATTGGATTAGATTACACATTATCAAAATCAGTCGTTTTTAATTGCAAACAAATTGGGGGTCTTGGTATTACTCGCCCCTCTATTTTATTCTCTATTGAACCTATTTGCACAGCAGTTAGATTATTCAATTCCTCATCCTCCATCACCAAAAATATAGCTTTGGCTGCTTGGAAAGATACTACTTTTAACGAACCATTTTGGAACCACGTGAAAAATATTGCTGCTCAAAATAATTGGTCTCTCCAATACATTGATGAACGATATTCATTTGTCAATGAATACGAAACCCCTGTCGACCCTAGAACTGAATTGCTAAACAGTGATAGATCAACCATGAGCATTTCTGGCCTTGGAACCTTAGACCATAATAGAATCTGGCATCCATGTACCATCTCCTTTTGGAACAATTATTCACTCAAACCATTCCAGCAACGACTGTTATTTGCTCACCTGCACAAAGCAGAAATCCTTAGAAATTTCGGAAAAGATTACCCTAATTGCCACATTTGCAACACCAAAGCCAACTGGGAACATGTATTCACCTCATGCGCCATGTGTAGCCCAGAAATCAAATCATTATACACAAAATGGGACAATAGTTCCCTCAAATTCAACGCCCCGCTTGTCAGACTTCCCTCTAACCATTCTCTCTCTTGTATTCCAATGGAGTGGAATGGTAGTATCAAAGACGAATCTCTCCAACAACTAGACCTATCTCCCCCAGCCTTGACTGATTGGCTAAATGAAATATATCTCTCATTCGCTGCTTATGTTGGCAGTTGTTACAAAAACGCCACTTGGAACAGTTCTACTGTACTCAAGAAGGCTAGAGGATATATAATTAAACCCAAAACTGCAAAATTTGCAACTGCTTGGGAAACATGTAGCAATCAGCTTGGCGAACTCAACTCCGACAACATTTAAACCCCACACATACACACCCATTAGACACACTCTCGTCGGACAATTGAGTACCTATAATTTGTTTATTCTTCAATAAACCCATCCCTGTATTTTTTGATCGAACGAATGGGTCATACGCCGGGGTTGTGGTGTGATGGATTGAAAAATGTGTCTCATCATTGTATACAATTATGAAAGATCTGAGTGAGACTCCAAGTTTTGTGAAATTAAAAATTCAAAAACTTGGAAATACGGAGCTAATAAATAGTGAAAGAGATGGAATCAATACTCTAATCATGCATGTAATAAATATCATGTGCTACAATTGAGATGTCTGTTAAATTATCCCTAATTAAAGCTGAAAATAGATTTGGAAATGCTCTCAAACATCTATAATTGAGAATGGTATTCATTTCAATGGTCATGAAAGTATTACTTCGTGATCCAGAGTCATAACCTCCATAGAGATGAATTTTTCCTCGTTTCTTATCAATAAACATGGAAGAACAATTCAATGCTTTGATATTAGTCACGTTAATTGCCTTCCACTGTTCTGTCACAAAATTAAAAATAAAGCAATGAGAATAGGGAATATATTGATCGTCACATCCACCATAGATCAACAATTCCGTTGGAGAAATTTGGCATGTCGAATTGGCATGACCAAACAATGGAGGTGGTATTGAGGTTCCCATGAGGTCAACTATTCTCCATTTTTGATCAGCAAAATCATAGATACATAATTCATCGCTCAATTCTTGTGCTCCAACTCCGACATCTCCTCCATAAACAATTAGCAACTCTTTTCCTTGATTATATACAATATTTCCACTTGCATAGGCACGAGCAGAAATGTAGTTTTTCTGGAAAATTTTTTTCCAAGTGCATTTAGAAATATTATATTCATACATTTCATTGGTAGAGTAGGAATCATTTCCAGAATAGAGCAGTAAGGAATGATTGGATTTTCGATAAAGGAAAATATGTCCTCGGAGTTTAGAAGGACCATTTGAATGTTTGTACCACATTCGAGTGGTTAAATTGAAGCTATAGAGTTCATCGGTCCACTGTGCTTGATTGGGAGCTTCCTCATTGACACCTCCTAAAGATATTCAATTGATTTCACAATGAATTAGATTGTGACAATTTGTAGTGAAACAACAAAATTTCACACTTACCATACAGCCAGAAAATTGGATCTTTTCCTTGTTTCACAAAGCCATGGTAATACCTCGTTTGTGGAACAAGAATTGAGACAGCTTCAATTGGAGGTAGCCATCGATTTAATGACATATCATAGATATGAATCTAGATTTCAAAAGATATCCAAAGTCCAAATTTAGAAAGTGTCAACAGCAAGATCAATAGCATCACATCATCATAATTTTTATATCATCAGGCAATGATGACTCAAAGACACTTACCATTCCCTTTGTTGAATTTCTTCCTCCCCAAAAATAGACCAAGTCTCCTTCTGTGATGCAAACATGACTATCACTCACACCAATCGAATATTCATACATTGGTTGTTGTTGTTGTTCAGTATCATCATCCTGCCGAGCTAGATCCTCTTCGAGTGGTAAAATGGCTACTGGTCTAAACCAATTGGACTCTTTTGGTGAGAGTCCATCGGACGAAGAGTTGTTTGCTGCTGCCGATCGAAACAAATGCACGTGTTTGTATGGTCGCATTTTTTTTGTTGTTGTCATCTCAATTACTTTTTGGCGGAAAGATTTTCATCTTCAATCGAAAGGGAGTTTTTTAGACAGTTTCGTTTCATGGATAATGGGAATACAGTGCTGGTAGTCTCGTTGGGATGAAAATAGATGAATCGTTGTAAATGACAGAGTTGTTTGAAAATGAGCTTGTCTGGTTTTTGATTAGTTTTCTCCATTGAGGACAATATTCCATGCAAAGAGGACTTTTTCACAAACCAGCGACATTTAGGCCGCTCGACAATGAATAATGAAAATTTCATCTGTTTCAACAGCCAAACAAAAAGAAATAACCATCACTCGAACCTTATCATCTCACAAAATGGCCTCGTCAATGCATACTTCAAATCAATCCAACGATGGAACATCCTTCATGAAACACAAAGACGCGTCCATTACAAAATTCTGGACTCCCTTGTTTCGAAAAATTCAACACTGGAGCGGAATTGCCTTCTCCGTATTCACATCCATGCATGTGGCCACAACAGTTTCAGCAGCTCTTTCTCCTCAAACCTATGATCAAGTATTGGAATCGACTCGAGCATGGTATCGTCCTTCCAAGACAGTAGAAGGTTTAGTCATGATGAGTCCTCTCATTGTTCACTTGTTGGCAAATTCTTACTTTTTCTATTTGAACTATTTTCCTCCCAAGTCATTGATGAAAAATGTTGAAACTCAAGAATTGGAGAAGAGAAATATTCAAAGAAATTCCAATATGGAAACATTAGTAGTGAAAAAACCCTCCATTTCGATTTGGAAAAGACTTCATCAATATTCGGGATACGTTCTCTCCGTACTCATTCCTGGTCATATTTATGGTGTGAGATTTGCAAATTCGTATCAACAAGAATTTGCTGCGTTGAGACACTTCTTAGAGAAGGGAGTGGGTCATTTCATTGGAATGTCTTACTTTGGAATTCTAATGACTACTGGTGTCTATCACATGCTGTTTGGATTGAATACTGCTCTGGGATATAAGGTAAAAAGACCCTTCCTTTTGGGAGGAATTGTGGCCATGTTGGCCGCTGCTTATTTTGGATTGTTAGGAATTGGAGGTTACTTGTATCCAGTTGATGCTATGCGAGAAAAATTTCACAAATTCGATTAATCTCTTAACGTTTTCCTTTCATTGTAAATAAAATTCATACATGAAATTACATATATAATACAAATTCATCAAAATGGCTCACTCTGTGACATCTTTCGGTGGTTATTTCAGGCCTCTATTCTCTTGCATTGTCTTGATCGATAGCCATTCCTTATATTGAGCTGTTTGTTCCAAGCGCCCAAAGGTGTCCAAAATGTTGATGATTAATTCGTTCCAAATCACGTCGAACAATTTCTGTGTCGATACTTGTTGGAGATTTGCATTTCTGCACTCTTCAAGAAGCTTGTAAAAGTGATGTTTTGTGCTGGATGGTAAATTAATTTCATATTTCGAAAAATTAGCAATAAAATCCTTCTCAATGTCTTCTAATTGTGAAAGTGAGACCGTTTCACTTTTGATGGATTTCAACAATGAAAAGAGTTCAATATTTTCAATACTAAATTCTTTAGAGGCATATTCTTTGAGTAATTCCAAGAGGTCAATATTTTCTGCGAGCAAATCTTGAAGTTCGGTCGAGGTTTTCTTTGCATTTCGATTTCTAAGCTTTTTGACAATTTCAATGGTGAGTGTTGTTCCTCCACAAAACATGACACAGCAAATACAAAGAACTGTGTTGAGTATGGCGCTGGCACCTCCTGAAGTAGCTGCTTCTGCTAATCCGGGTATAGTGTTGCCCAATATTACAAGAATGGCCACAATGATGACCAAGCTAATGGAAATTAAATCAATACGCACATAAAAAGGGTCGTCAAATAATAGAAAAGTAAAAAGCCCTTTTTGTCTAATCTTCTTTCTATTTACAAAAATGTCAAATGATATTGCAATTAAGGCAAGTATGCTGCCCAAAATAATAATTACGAATAAAAATATTACTCGGAAAGTATTAGTCTCCTCAATAGAATTTCCAAAGAAAATATAAATTCCAATCGAAGAAAATACTACACTCATCATAAATGAGAGAAAACCTGTGATGAACAACCCAACTCGATTGGTGGCCAATATTTTGAGCAATTTTTTATGCCTTGACTTTGAAATAAATGTATATAAATTTCTCAAATAATAAAATCGCACTACTGAAAAGAAATAGATTAGGAAAAACCATGTATAAATGATCATTGAAACAAAATGGAATATTGGAGAGCAAAGTCTCACTAAAAAATTGCAAAACATTAAAAATACAATAAATAGAAGTAATGGTGTGTAAGGAACAAGAAGTCTTCTCTTAAATGCTGGAATTTTGTAGCTTCCTGTTGCAAATAATAGCACGAAATAGAGTATGAAAATTATGAATTGGGGAAATATACCAGAATCTGTTTCAGGCCGGAAGATCTTGGAGAGACAAAGAGTATCAGTACCACATGGATGACATGTGGAAGGAAATAGAGAGCTTACGACAGCATTCAAGTTCCAATTAGGTGAAGTCAAGTTATGTGAGGCTAGAAATAAAGGCATGTAATGGTTATACACTCTCCAGTCGTAGGAAATAGCTTTTCGAGAGATATATCGAACTAACTCTGCATCTTGTTGAGTGAAATTAGAGTACCCTGTCAAGAATCGATAGGTTTGTGCATCTGCTACGTCAGCATTTAGACATGTCATATCCGCGTAATCAAACATTAAACCCATGGTTTGATTTTGGAGGAGATTGGTATTGTCGGACCATGTATTTTTAGCACTCTTCACTATCAGTGTGTTTGGAATCAAAGGAATTGGAATGAAATCATTAGTATTGAGGTAATTTTGAGATGCTGTTGTAGACTGTTGTGTTCGATCTCTGTATGTTCTCAAGTAAAAAGCAAAATCATAAGGATCCATAACAACAGCATCGTGTTGTTCAAATACGTTACCTATTCTACATGGCTCTGACCACACCCTCATTTTGCGAACAGTTATGGGTAACGTGTCAGATGTCAAGTTATGAAATTTCAGCATCTCATTAAAAGAGGCAAAGTTGTGGTTTTCGATTCCAATTTTGATGGAGGTGCCTACTTGTGTTATCTCCCCTTTTTTCTTCATCATCAGTTGAATAAAATCGTCTCGTGTCAAAACAATAGCACTTGATGAAGAATTGAGTTTGTCGAGCCAATCAGAAAAGAACGAATTAGATGTGGACACATTGTTAAATACCCTGTCCTTCCACACGAAGAGGGTCAAAAAGGTGTGTACTCCAACCAATGTGTCTCCATTCGAGAGCTTTCTGAGACTTGAAGATGAGAGAACTGCTGCGTAGGGAGTTTGTTGAGATATAGCCCATACATGTGTCAAAAGCAAAGACACAAGCAACAGCAAGATGAGAGGAGTGTGGGTGGCATGTGTGGCCATTTTGTTGGGTGTGGATGTTCCACGTGATTGACAAGATTTGAAAATGACGATTACGTTATCGTATCTGAAATAATCCACCATGAACGAAATCCAACCTAACATATCGAAAAAATCCAAAAATGAGCAAGAATGTAGGCACCAATTCGAACACGTTCTCCATGCAGGCTTCTTTGTATCGGAATGCCCTCATTGACCAACATTACGTATTAATTCATCAAACTGTGCCTTCCTATCCTCCTCCATTAGAACAAATGGACCGTATCGTGATGATACCATTTGACCGTTTGAGAAGTTCCAACCTAATCACTAATCTTGTTTTGCTTTTTGCTCGGAGCATGTTGGAGTGAAATGAACGAAGCAAATTGGTTTTGAAATATTTTTTTGAATTTTTAATTTGAAAACAAATCCAAACATTACAAGAATTATTGGTAAACGATGCTTTTTCAACCTTGTTCATTAATAACTGCAGCTGTTATGAATTTATTATCATCAATAGAATCCAATGAGATTTTTGTTACTGAGGTTCAATAAAAAAATGCCACCACTGAAAAAAGCTCCTTCTTCATCGTTGCCCAAAGTTCAACTCTCGGAAGAGAAAAAGGCTCAACTCGACTCGGAATTAACTTGGTGTATTGAACATTTACAATTGGGATTGAAAAGAAAGGATGCAGATGAGTATCAAATTAGAGAGACCAACAAGGTTATTTCTACATTACAATCCAAGAGTGTTCCCGATGTTCAAAAAAGACAATTGATGAAAGTCGTGTTTGGAGATTATAGAAGATTAATGAGAATGGAAAAGCAACAGTTGGAGGAAGCTGAACGAAAGGAAGCTTCTAAAATGAAAAAGAAACAAGGTGCAGCATCATCTTCTGATGATAATGTTGAAAATGAAACGTCGATAACACCAGCTCAACAAGAGACCCAATCAATGATGACAAGCAATGCATTGGAAAATAATTATCAATAGTATTTTGGATAGCTTAAACCCTGTAATCGTATTGAACTCCCTTTAATTTTTGGTGCTTTTGTGACGATTGGTTCTTTTGATTTTACAAGAAAACCAGACTGTTGTTACGAAATTGAGTTGAGAACACTCAACAGTCAACTGTCATAAAAAGAACCGATTTATTATTCAATTTCAAGAGCCAAACAAAAAAAACACTCAAAAAAATCAGCATGGACGAATTCAATGACTCTCTTTCTTTTTCCATCCAAATTATTGATAGTTCAGAAATCCCAACAACAACAACCAACAAATTGTTCACAACAACAATCACAGCACAACAACATTTCGTTGTGTTCAACAGCCGTCCTATGCACAACAATTTAGGACCCGAAATTGCCAATTCATGCGCTTCCAGAATTTGGAAGTGGAATTTCCAAGGTTTTAAAAATATTTTTTTATTTTTAAATTTTGAACGTTCATTAAAACCGGCTCTTTATTTTGACCGTCGAATTTCCAAAGCTCAACAGCAAATTTTCTCAACTCTCTACCTTTTCAAATTAGACGGTCAAAAAATAAAATCCACTATGTCGTCAGGAATACTAGTTTCCTCTCCAAACTCCATCTCTTCATCACCGTCTTCATAATCACTTAGTTCATCGAATAGCTGTTCATTATTTGTCATCTCTTCATCTCCATCATCATCTTCAAAATCACTCATTTCGTCCTGAAACATTTCTTCCTGTTGAACATTTGTCTGTAAATAAAGATCCAGCTTAGATTTCTCTAATTCTGAACGAGAAGACTGTAAATTAGTAGCAGTTGATTGATCACTTTCAATTATTACTCGATCCTTGATTTTCAGATCATTGAAGCTATTCCATCTCTCCTTAACCTTGTCACCACTTCTTTCTTCTATTCTTTCAAATGTAGTATCTTCATCAGACCTGAAAGAGAGAAATAATACTCTAAGTTTTTTCACAATCAGTTGGAAAATTTGGAACAATTGATTCCATTCTCTTTTGTCTTCTTTTCTTGGAATATGTTTTTCATATTTAAATATATTGTTAAACTCATCAATAGACAAGTCTGGCTCTGTATAAATACTCATCTCGTTCCACACAGTATTACTATCTTTCACATATTCATCGAAAAAGTATTTCTTTTTACCTTTTGCTGTTGCTCTTTCTGTTATAAAATGGTCATGTTGATGAGAACCTTCTACTGCTTCATTGGAAACAGGAACCAGAGAACCAATTTCATCGAAAAATTCTTTTACATGATGCACAATAATGTGTATGTAATACGGAAGCACTCCAACGCTTGATCGTAGTTCTACAATGTTGATATGCCATTTAGTTAATAATTGATAAAATTCTAAAAGCTCTTCCTCTGTTTTCTTTGCTCGCTCATCATTTGTCATTTTAAGCCATTGACGAACAATAATCCACTGATCCCAAATTTCCATCATTTCATCCGTAACAACATTTTCAAAAATTGTCTTGTAATGCTGTGAGATAACTTCAACCATTCCTCCAGTCAACATGAATTTATAGTCCTCGTTTTCTAATACTGGATCTTCTTCTGCGTCTGATGTATTTTTAACTTGGGTCGAATGAAATGTAAAGGAAGATGAAAAACATGGTAGTTTTCTTACTCTTTCAAGCACTAATTTTTCATATTCTTCTTTTGTAAGGGACCATTTTACCAAATGCTCCGTAATACGTTCTTCTGCGTGGAGAATGCAAATATAAATTTTGGATGAATCAATACCAAACTTGTGATTTAAAAACCTTGGCATGGAGGTTCCATTTAAGCTATTACATTTCAAGCATGCGCATCTCAAACAAAACATATTGCCTTCTAATAAATCGCTCACGTAAGACAGAGATTTTAAATCGCTAACCCATATTATAGTCACTTTCATGTTGAAATTTTCTTTGTTTAACGAAGCGTCTGCTTGTTTTTTCGTTATTTGTATACCATCTTTCGAAATCTTTTCGACTTGTTGTGCAAAGTTTTTACAATAATCCATAATTTCCTGTTCATTACCAATATACATTGCGACAGGAAAAACATTTCTTCGCTCTTGAGTTCCAAATGTTGTAAGATTTAAAACTGAAAGAGTTACAACCACCGTCTGAAGTCCGTCAAATTTTCTTCCATCCATACTCATCTTGATTACCAAAGAATCAGGTAACTCTTCATTTACAGGACGTTGTTGTTGTTTTCTTAGAAACACGGTATGCAGGTGACTTTTTACAGCTGCAATGATCACAGGTTCCAGTTTCATCACAAATCCTTTTAATACATGTTGTATTCCAAAATATTCAACTAAGGCATTCGTTACTTGTCCTTCTATGTCTTTAAGATCCGCCTTAAGAATATCGTTGAGTCCCAACGAAAAAATATGCTCTTTCCAAGCTTTGTTGGAGCAACATAGTTCATCTTTTACCTTCAGTTGTTTGGTTAAAGAGACTGGTTTTAACGACATTTGTTTTAGCTTTCTAAATGTTTCTTTTTCGTTATCGGAGACGTGATTGGAAGAACTTATTGCTTGTGCAAGAGAAAGAATTGCCTCTGTGTTTCTACATTGTAAACAACAACAAGAGTTTGGAATTAATTGGAGGAAAACTAATGGGTTTGTAACTCGCCAAACATCCATCCTTTGAAAAGGATTGGTGTTTGAGGGATTTTCTGCATATTTTGTCATTAGACTTTATTATTTATTATTTATTTTTATGCTCAAAAAATTTTCTGCATACTAGTACTTCGTCTCCCTTTGCTTTGCTTACTGACTTTTATATATATCTCGTGTTTCTGAAGCAGCCACTAGATTGACTTTTGATATATTGGATTTCACAATGTCTTTCTTTTCTTTATCATATTGTTCTATCAGTCTATTTAAATAGGTGTCAATTTCTTGTTCTCTTATCCTTTTACTTTCCTTTTTTTTTTTAGTTATTTCTTTAATATCATGTTCTGTATTGCGTGATCGTTTAGTCAACACTTTTGGCTTCGCGATAGAGAGAGATGGTGTTGCGTTTGTTTTGTTTTGTTTATCCAATTCTTGCAGAGTTTGTTTTCTTTTTGTTGGAGAGGATGTAGATGGAGCATTAGGAATGTCTTGTGAAATGTTGGAAAAAGAAGTACTTGTTTGTGATGTTTGTTGCATCGTTTCTGAATTGTTTTGGAATCGTTGTAATTGTTGTTGGGTGAGATAGTTAATTAAATGGGACCGATAATTGTCCTCTTTTGTTATAATATCTAGAGCGATCTCCAAACACACATAGGTAAGCCCTTTTCGTCCAATTTTAACGACATCGTTATTTTTGGAATACTTGGAATAAGATTCATATTTGTGTTTGAGATCTTGAAAACGATAATAGAAATCGTTGTTGACAATAATTGTTTCAACAGATTTACCTAAAATTATTTCAATCAAACCGTCGGAATGATTGACGTTAGTGAATGTGGTGATGTTTGAACTCATTTTTTAATAACTGAACAATTTTTGAACAAGAATGATATCTTTTTGTTGGATAGTAACTCTTTTGGCATGTATTGCCAATTCATTGCTATTCTGCATAATCCTAACAAGAAAATCTTCTGCTCCTTCTTGTAAAGCATTCAAAGCGTTGAGTTGGAATCTTAAATCTTGCTTATAATCCGATGCTATTTGACGAACAAGTCGTCTGAAATTTGTTTTTGGGATTAGACATTCCGTATTTTTTTGAAATTTTCTTATTTCTCGTAGTGCTACTGTACCAGGTTTGTATCTGTGTGGCTTTTTAATTCCTCCAGATAATGGTTTGCGTGTTGATGGTTTATTTTGCTTCCGAGGCTGTTTGATGGCTTGACGTTGTTTTATTGATGGTTGTTTTTTTGATGATGATTCAGGTGCGGACTGTTGGGTCATTTTTTGTGCGTCCAAACTGAAGTTCGATAAATATTTTAAGTGACTGCATACGTGGCAAAAAAAATCGACGCTCAACATGGACCTGTATGATCTGAAATTAATTTATTACTTTCATCCTGATGATCCATTAGATGATGATACGTTTTTCGAAAGTTTATATATACCCAACAGCGAGCTTTCCGATATTTTATTTTCAAATCCTCGATCTTTTGTTCATTATTTGAAAAAACGACAATCGGAGATGATGGTTGAACATGTAAATTTTACCATCACATTAACGCCTTCACAAATATCTTATCTTCAACCTTTTTTTGGCTGGTCAAACAAAACAAGACATATGACAGCACATAATTTGTATTTGCTGCTTCTTAATGAAGATGTTTTCAAGCACAGTCGATTCAAAAAACTATTTGCAAATGTTGATATTACTAAACTTCAATGTGATTTATTTAAATATATAGTGCCATTAAAATTTGAAGGAGAAAGTGATCAATAAATTAAACCGAATCCCATGTATCATTCATTTCGTTATATCTTTCAATTGTCCAATCAAAATCAACAGTGACCATCCATGATTCAGTATTACAATAGAAGACGAGTTTTGTGAAATACATTCGATATTGAAAATCAAAATGCATTGTCACATATTGATTGATATCATGATCGAAGACGCGAACTGGATTTTGAGCAACAAATCCTCTTAAAGCATAAGTTTTCCCACAATTCAATCCTGGCATATCTTCAAAATTATCGAAGGCAAACCCAATACATTCAATCCTACGAGTATGATTATCAAAATTCAAAACCTGATGCTTGGTGATATATCTTGCTGAAGAGTTGCCAAAATATCTTACAAAGTAATCAGGATTCAAACAACCGAGTTTGATTCCTCGTTGGTATCTCTTGGTGTAATAGGGATCTAAAGAATGACCAAGAAAGAAAGCAGCAGAATGAGCAAACATTGCCAAACAAGCAGCCATCCTAATACGCTCTCTTCCAACTGGATTTGCTTGAGGCATGATTTGATAAACATCTCTATATGATGAAGAATTACTACCATCATACGCAAGCCATTGTAGATCACGAACGTTGGTTGTTTGCTTCTTGTTTTTGGTTGCTTGTTTCTTTTTTGTTGTACTTTTGCTCTTGTTGTTGACACGTTTGTTTGATGTTTTGGCCATGATGATTGATGATTATTATTACTATTATTACTATTATTGAATCGAGTCGATGTACAAGAAAAGTCGTTCAGGTTATAGATGAGAATTACTAGGTTGTTGTGATGAAGACAATGATCACGAAGGAGCAAATACTACACTACTGATGAGAAGTTGCGAATTTTGTTTTAAAGTGGCCAGGGCCACCAAGCACAAGCAGTTTAATGCATTTTTTTTGAGATGCGCACAAATTTTTAGAAAAATCTGCGAGAGGGATTGGCAATTTGTGAAAGTGGCCAAAATTAAATTGTTGTGGCAGTGTCCTTTGTCTTTCTTCCTATTTTCTTTCCAGTGATGCCACTTTTTCCACCGACTACCAACCAACATGTAGGCCCTTCATTATGCAATACTAATGTTGATAACGACGATCACGAGGAAGAGGACGACGATGAGCACGACGAGGACGACCACGAGGAGTATCACGAGGATGAGCACGACGAGGACGACCATGAGGACGACGAGGACGAGGACACTACGGAGCAGCCACAGCCAGAGCTATCAAAGAAGAGAAAGCAAGAGAGTAGCGTTCACACTTCTCGTGGAAGCAAAAAGATCAAGAAAGAGGCGACAAGTAGTGATGACGGTGACATTAATCGAGTCGACAAACGAAATACAAATCTTGAATGGGTATTGCCATCCAAGGAAATACCAGAGGGTGATATTGGTGTGGAAATTCGAGTTTATATCTCTCGAAAAACTCAACACCAAGCGAATGCAACAGATGGTAGCAAAGCCACCCCTCTTTGCAAGTATCGATTTACTGTTACTGAAATTACACAAACAGAGGATCACAAAATCTATGTCAGCCAAATTTTCCAGAAAATGGAGAACCGAATGAAATTTCCTGCCAACAAATACATTTGGATTGAAATTGGCAAGTCCACTGAACGTATCTTTGTCTATTGTCAAGGTAGGGGCAGTGGGTCGAAAAAAGCTGTTTCCAAACCACGTACTGAACAGGACACAGAGAAGCAAGAAAACAAAATAACTAACCAGAAAAAGAAGACCAAGAATGTTGTGTCCATTGCTGTAGATGGAACAGTTAGTCTCAGAAAAGAAATTTTGAGCGCATACTCAAAACATACATCCAACGCCATTTTAACGCTTGACAACGAATTGTCGACCACATCAGCTTCAAGTACTTCATCTTCCAATGAATACTTGAGACAGATCAACTGAGAACTTGCTTGACGATTTATGCAGTTTCAAAGCACATGTCATTACTCTCTAATTCACTGAAGTATCAACTTTGGTGAAGTAAAGATTGGTGACATTTGTACATAAATCGCCAAGCAATATTCTCTTCGACGATAAAAGTGCAATGCGTTGATATTGAAAATACTTTGTAAATACAACAAAATAAACCACTGTAACATTGAAAGTGGATGTATTGTTCAATGGTTGTTTCAAACGCAACTGATCAGTGACTTTTTAGTTGTTTTTTAAAGACCATGTTTAATCATGAACCTTGGATTAGATAACCTGTTGCATTTATTGTGGTATTGGGATTAAGGGTAGGTGGAACAAATTTTTATTTGAGTAAATATAAAAATTGTAAACATAAAGATTGTAAATGTTTTATACAACATCCTTGTTTCCAAAGTGTTGTTGTTGAGAACTCGACTCATATTCAAATCCAATACCCTTCTTTTGGCAAATATCCTGAGTTGTAAATCTTGAGTTTTCTGATTGGACGAAATTAAATTGAGAGCTCTCATTTCCAGTCAAATGTCAAATGATAAAATTGTTTAAAATGCCTGTCTTGCTGGAAGCAACTTCACAAAAATTCAAACAAAGAAAAAAATTTTACAAACAACTCATACACTCATGGCAACCATTCTCACCGACCCAATGTTGTTGGACGCCAACTCTTCTCTCGATTGTGCCAACAATGAACAAGCTTCCAACTCTCTTAATGATTATCGTTTTAAAGAATATGAAGAACCTTTGTTTCCAACCGAAGGATTAACTGCTGATGATTTACTTTCCGATCAGGAGGACGATGATCAAGATCAACTAAATGATCATGAATTGAGTTCAATTTCAAATCACTTGATGCGTCATGATCAAGCAACAAATGCAGTCACTCCTCGTGACAACACTTTCCATCCACACGATGATCCACGAAGATCTTTGAACCAAAATTTGAATGCAAATTCTCATGTGGTTACAACACCGAATCCGACAACCACTTATGTAAACTTTTCTTCTGTTGAGGCAAATAATCACAGAATTATTCTCAATCCAAATCTTGGACCACAATTTCCTTGTCAGAACGTAATGGTTCAAAATGTTGGTTATGCTCCTCCTCCTTTCATGAATTATTATTTTTATCCAGTAGGTTCATTCCATCCACTTTTGGGGAATCTTTCAAGCAGCAATCATGGAAGTACACATCTGCCAGTTGTTAATTATGGTTCTTTTGGTTGTCCATATAGTTATGATTGCGCAACGGCGATATACAACCCTATTATCGTTCCTCCTCTACCTCCTCCTCCTTTTCCATTAAATGTGACAATGAGTGGTTGCGGGATGTCACATGTTCAATCATTTCACTTTCCACCCTATGCATTCATGCCACAACCTTTTGTGCACCAAATAATGCAACCATCCATCATGCAACAAGGTACTGTGAACAATAGTCATAAGAGGACATGTTCTGATGCAACTATTGTGAGAACTAACAACTCATCTTCTTTGGAAAGTTCCAAAAAGAGACAGAAACACACCATTCCTATCATGCCAGTGATGGCTTCTCCAATCAAATTGGACCATAGAAATACTTATATTGAATATGTACTACAAAATGGAATCATTCCAACCACACCAATACTTATTCATGTATTTTCTGTACCTGACAGTCAGTACGAACCTGAGATTGACAAGCTCAAGAAGGCAATGCGCTTATATTCTATTGAAATTACTCTTGCTCCAAATTCTCGAATCTATAACAACCAACGCATTTACATTCCTCGCATTTTTCGGTACATCAAAAAACAAGCAAAAGACGACAACAACCCCAAACCATCCATCTATGTACGATTTGACACCTCTGACGAATTTCACTTTCTATATTGTCAAGGCTCCAAAGGTCCGAAAGGACAAGTCTGCAACATGGTGACCATTTCAGAATCACAAGGAAACTCTCGTTCTTTCCGTAAGGCATGTTTGAGAAAGTACAAATCTCGTGCATCCAATGCTTCTTTTAAGCTTGTCCATCAACCTTGCTCTGCTTCAAGTTCTTCCACCAATGGAAACTTGATCCAGAATAACCAAGAAGCCGCCATCTTGATTGACGGACTAACTTTAGATGCTAATATTCCTCCTAAATACTTAACCAAATAACTGGCCTTTGGCCAAAAGCATCTAAAGTTAGTCCGTCAATCAAGATGAGGACTTCAACCAAAAAAACAGAGTACAAATGCATGGCAAGCCGTAAAGATTTAATTTAGATGTACATGTGACGTTAGTGGCCTGACGGTCTTTGTGATTTCATGTTCACCTTACCATTATTCTATTCTTGCTTTGTGAGCTTTGCATTTAGGCGTTGTCGAACGGCATACTTTTCCTTGAATCGTTTTATATTGTCCATTCGCTCTAACAGTGAGGGATGAGCGTTGTAATATCTCGAGTACAGTTTGTCAACAATTAAATTATATACATTATTTACATGCATTCTAATTAGTGGTTTTTCAATGTCATAGCCAAGAGAGAGACTGTATTCATCGCTTGAATATTCATAGCTTCGTTGAATGTAGTTCAGTATGACCATGGCAAGGTTGCCCAATGGTTGGTATAGATAAGAAAATAGGCAGAGGCCAACACTTGGCTAAATATTGTTGTTGTACGTTTTGTGAAGTCGTGTCCATGCTACTTACATCAATAAATCCAAATCCAAAGCTTGAATAAAAGTGTTCATTGTAAATTGTAAATGAAAGAATGAATAAGAATATTCCGAGTGCCAATACTTGAGAAGTTAGAATTTTGATACTATGATTCATCTTGTAATGATGAATTTCGTGAGCTAGAATTGCCAAAATTTCCTCATTGGTTAAATTCAATCCATCCTTGCTGATCAAGTTATCATAGAGTACAATTTTCTTGTTTTTTCCACTGCCCACCATGAAAGCATTGGCGTGTTCACTTCGTTTTGAACCATCCACATAGACAATATCTTTCACATCAATTCCAACAGTCTTGGTCAGTTCTTCGATACTCTTTCGAAGTGGGCCTTCAGGCATTTCTGTAGGTTGGTTTCCATTCATTCCATTAACGTTCATAAATTGAATGTATTTTAATCAATGACAATGGATAACCATCCATTGGTGATTGTGCAAATAAAATTATTAGTAATTTCTGATTTTCAACAGTGCCCCTCACTTACCATAAAAAGTATTGAACATGGGTGCTAACACAATTGGATACAATTCATAAATTCCAACAGAAAGGGCAACACCTCCAAACCAAAGATAAACCCAATGAATTGGGCTACCTGTTATGAGGAGCCATAAAATTAAAAATAATAATGGAATACCAATCACCACGGCCATAATTCCCATCTTGATTTGATCCATAATCCAATTTCGGAAAACAGACATAATGTCTTGCACTCCACTGTCACTGCTATTGTCACTCAAGGAGGCGTCATGATCCTCTTTTTCATCTTCAGATGTTTCTACGGCTGTTGAAGTCATGAGCTTGTTGGCAATATTTTCCTTGCCAATAATTGATTTTTCATTGAGTTGAGGGCTAGCATGCTCAGGAAGTAGAGCAACCTCCTCTTCATCGGTACTGTATTCATTGTAGTAGGATCCATTCTGGTGATTTTCATCTCCGAAAAACATATTTGCATTATTCACTTGCATGACTCTCCTTCTACTGATTTTATCAAGAGTTTCTTTCTTTAAAAATTCTGTGGATGGATCATTTTCGATCGATTTTTGCAAATCTCTTCGTTCTTGCTTAATCTCAAAGAATTTTCCGTCCAACACAAATATACGATACACTTCAAATGGTGCACGAACGAAAGTGCTCAATAATGAAACAAGAAATAGAAATGTCACACCTCTAGTGATGACATATTCTTCACCGAGGCCAAAAAGTAACACGTTCGTTTTGAGGGCTAGATCGAACATCCAATTCAGAACTCCCGAGAGCAAAATAAATACTTCTGTAATGAAACCGTACGCATTTTCTAATCGAGAAAATCCTAATCTTGTTATACTCTAAATACCATCATGATGAATTATTTCACAATCGCGATTGCAAATTAAAATTTTTCATATTTCACACACACATTTGCGGTTAGAATTGGATTAAATTAATTCTCGTTAATCATCAAACTTACATAATTTCTCATGTCATCATATTCATCTTTGTCAATATAATCTTGCAATTTAGATGGGATATTCGTTGATGTTTTCAAAAGCCTACTTTGCCTGTAATCCAAATAGAGCTCTATAACAAAAGCAATGGCATTAAAGAGAATGGTGATGGCCAAGAAAGGTAACGGAACCTGTTGAACAATATTCGCCAGTTTGGTTGCATAGTGTGCCACATACAGATGCAACATTTTATTGCTGATAATCTGGTCCTCCGACTATTTTGCAAATCCGATAATAATTTCAAAATTCACCTTCTCTCAAAATTGCTCAAGATGATGAAAATCATTACTGGTTATCACTCACTATTCACACCAATATTAATTTTCGGTTTCAATGATGACGAAACAATCCCGAACTGCAAGCTTCTTGTTTGATTTTTTTTGTTTGGAAAAGTTTGAAAGAAACGGACAGCGCATTCTTGCCGCCAATAATTTACAAATCATTTTTTTGAAAAAATTGAATCATATTCTTGATATTTGAAAGAGTTGCCATAACATCAATTGAAAATGTTCGGACCTCAAAGACCAACCGTTGTTTTAATCTATGGAGCAGTCGGAAGCAGAAAGGAAAATTTATTGCAAAGTTTGATGGATTCTCAACAGCAATTGCTTGAAAAAACTTCCAGTGCAACAAGCAGCATCCATCGAATGTTGGACGGACTCGAAAAGTTTGTGTTTGTTCCGACAGTTACGGTGGCACCGAAAGATATCGAGCACGATTTTAAAAGGACTCCGAATTGTTTTGAATTCGAGGATGCTTCAAATTTTGCCTCTCGCTTCGCTAGTAATGATTTTGATTTATGTTGGAAGGAATTTCTGGACAAGCAATACGAGTGTTCAAAATCGGAAGCCATCACTATCGATTACATCTATAAGGCCATTCCAAATGTTGAGACAATCTTGAAAGAACATCCATCGTGTCGGAAAGTCATCATTTCCACTTCTAACAGCTCTGGATCTGAAGAGAGTGGATCAGTGTTCAACCCATTAATGGAAGCTATCAAATTGTATAAAGATTCCCACGATGTAAAAATTGTGCTTGTTCGAGCGTCAAGAGAGGTAGTTCAGCAATCTCTAAAGGACAAGGGATGTTACAATCAAGATGAAATCGATACGTTAATGGTGCATCATGAGTACATTGAGAAAGACAAGACAATTAATGATCTTCGAAAATATTTGCATTACAATGGAAATATTCCACTCACCTTTGTTGACATTACCAACAATATGGAGGCTGATATGAGAAGATTTGTGAATGCTGTCGAAGGCAAAACTGAAGAGGAAAATGAACCATTTTACGAGAGCAAGCACACTGCTCGAGAATACATGAAGACACACAAAGTTAGCGAGTTGCTTCAATATTTGCTGCAGCTTGTGTTGGTAGAAATGCCTTCTGATCCACGACAATTTCTCATTGATAACTTGAAGAAAATTCAGTCCCACTCCTCGAAGAAGATTTTAACGTCCTCAGATTTTGAAACCATGTTCTCCATGATTGATATTAATAATAAGGGCTTTGTGACCTACGACCAAACGTTAAAGACTTTAATCAATCTAAAAGTGGATTCTAAAAATGCAGAAAAAGCCTTATCAGCATTTGAAAAGACTTCAAGAATTAATCAGGGTCAATTTGTAGAAATAATTTCCAAGCAATTAGATATACTGAACGGCACTCCTTATCAATAATGCAGAGGCAAAAGATGTAAATATTGAATTAGTATTAAATACTCAATTTGAGCAATGAGATATGCACGTTGTACTAGTACCTACTCAAATTTACCATCATCATATCATGATCATATCATGGAGAACACAAATCTCAAAAGAAAGCACGCCCTCAATAATTTAAATTTCCTCTCCAACGAAAAGAATTTCTTTGAATGTGCTTCTGCATCAATAATACCAATCACTTTAGAATTGGTTTCATCATAGATTGGCAAACAACACTCTGCTTGCACCATGGTATCACAACTGTAATAGGGCTGACCTGAATCAGATGCTGAATTGACATCTTCCCAAGTCACCACAACTCCATTCAATGCTACAAAAGAATTCGTGGATGCTTTGGCATGTTCTTCATCAATTGGAAAATCTGCCCGACTGAACTTTCCATAATAACTCATCTTGTACAGGCATGAGTGAATGTTTTTGTAAATTCCCAACCATTCACACTGAACCTCCTTCTGCAAGGCATTCACAATTTCGTATAATAGATGAATAAATTTTGCAAGTGCAATCACACGATCATCCTTTGGATTTACGTGTTCCATTCCAAAAGCACACTGTAATAAATCAAATTGTTTTTCGTCCTTTGCTCTACTGCAGGCGAAGGCTCCTGGTGTTTTCTTTGGAACGTCATATTTGAATAATTGTAACATTTCGTTTGATGTTGTAATTTTGGAAGCAAATGATTCATCGTTGTGTGAAATGGCGTTGCTAAAAAGGTTGTCAATTTGTTTGTTAATTTCGTTCAGTGATGATGAGATGAGAGAAATATCTTCCGAACTCGTGCCAACTTTGATGAGGTATTCTGCATAGATTTGTTCGTTGATTGGGAGAGGAAGGAGCAAGGACTTTTCAGACATTTTTATTCACAAAAAATCAAAAAATCGAGATTGATATCTGTGAAATAGTAGTTGGTCGATCGTGTCGAGGTAAGCACCAGCAAAGCTATCGCATGTTACCAATACCTAGCTCAGAAATGTCAAGTTTGATGAAAGATGCTATCATGAACCGAAATGCAATAAGTTCACTTCTCAGCCAGCGTATTATTCCAATTGAAAATCTTTTTTGATATGCTCATAGGCTGGAATATTAATGAAATGCTTTCCTGTGTGTGGACATGTATAATTTGCTAAGAATCCTGTGGTGTAACAATACTTTCTTGGTGGATAAATGGAAGGAGATGCTTCAATCGAAAAATAATTCGGATGTGAATTCAAGTGAACTTTGTCCATATTCAATAATACATTGTCTAATTTCCTCCGAACGAACTTTGCAGATTTCTTTTTGGAGTCTTTAGACTCAGTCTTTTTCTTCTTTGATGATGGTTCCACATCTTCGGAAGTATCCTTCTTTTTTTTCTTGGACTTGTTTTTCGGTCTGGTGACATCATTGGTTGTATCCCATACACCTTCTTCATCATCACCTCCAGAAATGATACTAAACTTTCCTGCACTGCCTCCTTTCCTATCAAAATAATTATCTCTCTCGAGTAGTGCAAGTCTAGCTCTCATTGCTTCCCATTGTTTAGCGTCCTCATATGATTTATTTGTACTCGGAGTGTTTCCTCCGACAGCAAGTGTACTGGATGTAGTTGTTTGATCATTCAAGAATTCTTCATCGTCCTCTTCGTCCACATTGATAGCTGGATGAGAACTCCGTTTTGGTGTTGTTGCTTTTGGAGATGAAGTTGTACCTGATGATGCGTTTCCCTTTTTCGATGAGGGTGTTCGTTGTTGTGATGAACGAGTTTTCCGCTTTGGTGCCATTTTTAAATAAAAATTTAAAAAAAATTTTTCGTTTGTATCGAGCTGATGGCTACCTTATTACGACAATCGTTGAATTCTTCATCTGGGTCCTCTCTTCGCTCCCTTAATGGTAGACCAGTAACGGATTTAATCTCTATTCGGTTCATACGTTCCAATTCATTGATCCTTTTTACTAAAATTAAGGCTTTCATTTTTGATCGAAGTTATCACTCAGCCACATGTTGTTTCAAACATAAAAGCACAACACTGAACAAGAAGAAAAAGAAGAGTCACACAAATTCTTTTGAAAGCATGTACATACCTCGACCACAGGAGTTCAAACAACGTTATGATGAATATTGCGACTTTACTGACAAATTCGTTGCAATTTGCTCTCAGTTCAACTCCGAATTTCTTTCCCAATACATTGGTGGTCATGAAACTCTCAATACATCATTCGACTCTATTAATCCTAAATGTAACATTTCCTATGTCACAAAACAAGGTCTACAACACATATTTCAGACACTGGAGGCAGGAAGAGATTTCATTCTTTACGACATTAGGGACGAGAGAGACTCGTCTAATGAAAACTATCCCTCCATCCATGCCAGCGCCAAGAATATTCTGCTCAAGAATATTGGTCACGTATTCCTTCGAGCATGTGTTAATACCTCTCTCAAACGATATGCATTTGTCTTGCCTTCTCAAGATATTTCAAGCGAGAAGGGGCCGATGATTATTTTGTACAGCGTTTCTTATATGAAGTGGTTGGATAGAGCTGCAGAGATTTTACAAGAATTAGGATGTAACAAGGTGGTTGTTTATGCAGGTGGAATAAAGGACTGGTGGAAGAAGCAGGAAGTTGAGATTTAATGATGTTTATCAACAAATATAGTAATCTGGATTATAGTTCACCAACATTCTTTTTCGTTGCAACAAGACCATCACCGATTGAAGTGCAACTAACATGCGAGTTGTAAAATGTATTTGTAATTTTGTAAAGATCTGAAATGCTGAAAAAATGTTGAAACGAGAACTTGGGCCTGTCCGTTTTCCTGCAAACAGCGAAGAGGACGACCAAGATTTCGGGTATGGAGAGGAGGCAGACAATGCTCCACAGAAAACACTTCAAAATAAGAAACGAAAATTGATGATATCACAGACATCCGTTTCCAAAACCGATAAACATGTACGAATGATAATTGTTGATTTTTCAAATTTTTCTGTTCCAAATGATGATAATGATGACTATGAACATATCATCCAACGATTGGAATTATTATTGAATAACAAATTCTCATTGCAACAAGCCGGAAAAAAGAAATGGCTTTTGAATCGGGAATTGGAATATGAGAAATTCTTCCCAGTGGAGTTTATGAATGATCAGCAATTTGTGTTGAATCACATTAAAAAGTATGGTTATGGATTGAAATTTGCATCCTCACAATTACAAGAAGACCGTGATTTTGTTCTGGAAGCTGTTCAACAAAACGGTTCAGAATTACAATATACACATCACAATATTCACAACGATCAAGAGGTGGTATTGGCAGCCATAAAGCAACAAGCTGATGCATTTCAATATGCCTCAGAATATCTTTTGGAAAACAAGGAATTTGTTTTGCAAGAAGTCTGCCAGAATGGAAATGCTCTGTGGTTTTCTGACCGTACACCATTTCGTAGTGACATTGAGGTTATTTTAGCTGCTGTGAAGCAAAACGGTGATGTGTTAGAGTGTGTTGTGGAACATAATTTGGAAATTAATGAAGAAATTATATTTGAAGCTATCAAACAAAATAACAAGGTACTTCGATGGGTGTCGCAAGATATATTGTTGGATCATAATTTCATGTTGAAGGCTCTAAATTTAATATTTCCTGAATTAGTCACTTTTGATTATTCGAACAAAGCAATACAACCACACGCAAAAAATTTTTTAATTTCTCTGGTGTGAGGAATTACTTCGCGCAACCTTTTCTCAAGAAATTTGTGAAGAGTGGTTGTATTGAAATAATGCTCAAAGTAGTTCAAAAATTTGGATTTTTGTTAGAATTTGCATCGTGTGACCTCAAGAATGATCGAGATGTGGTTTTGAATGCCGTCACAAATGATGGTACTTCATTGTTGTTTGCGTCTGATGATTTAAAGAACGACAAAGAAATTACATTGATGGCCGTTAAAAAAAATGGTGAAGCATTAGAGTTTGTCTCTGAAGAATTGAAGAACGATAAGGATGTTGTGTTAGCTGCTGTAAATCAAAACGGAGAAGCTCTTGAATTTGCATCAACTGATTTGACAAATGATCTAGAGGTGGTATTATCTGCCGTGAATGTAAATGCACGCGCTCTTGAGTACGCATCTGATAAGTTAAAAAACGACAAGGAAGTTGCAATGACAACTGTGATGCAAAGTGGTTACGCCCTTGCTTTTGCTGATGAGATGATAAGAGGAGATCAAGAGATTGTGTTTGAAGCTATCAAACGAAATAAGTCTGCTCTTAAATATGCTTCAAAGAGACTTTTGAGTGACAAACAATTTATATTGGAGGCTGTCAGACTTGGCTGTGAAAATGTTCTACAATACGCCCCACTAGATTTTGCTAATGACAAGGAATTTATGTTAAAAGCTGTCCAATACAACGGGATTGGAGTTTCTAGGACACAGTTACGTTAGCCATGACAAAGAACTCGTGTTAGAAGCTGTGAAAAATAATGGATATGCTTTGTATTCCGCAGTCCAAGGATTGCGACATGATCCTGAACTCAAATGGAAGCACTCAAGACCAATGGTTTTGTTTGGAACTATAGTGACGACTTATTTCTCGAACGAATGCAACAATGTTATCATGGCGCATATTTGGGCACAAGTGGTAAAGTGTGAGAGAAATCTTGCCTTATTATTTATTTAACATGGACTTGATTGAGGTCAACATGGTAGCCATTCTCTCAGCATTTTCTCTTTTCATTTTGGCAGATGGTGAGCTGGTTCTCTTGCTTTCACTTGGATCCTCTGGACAATAACCAATTTCTTGACAACTGACCAAGGGAGACAATTCGTGTTCAACTTCTTGAATAAATGTTGGGAGGTATTGTTCAACAGTGTAGATACAGATAGCTTGATAGGCTGTTGGGACAGTTGTACACACCTCCTCCAATTTTTGAGTGAGTTGTGACATGGACTCATTTTGAGAGATAAATAATTCTGTAAAGATTTTTACACAAGCGTTAAGGGTAAACCACGTTGATTGGTTCGGCAAATATTTAACACAGTTATGTGAACACGTGATTGAAACAACGACATACTAAAACATACCAACTTCATAAACAATCAATTGACACACGTTGCAAATATACTTGGTTCTATTCTCATCCTTCACTTGTGACATGACCAATTTGTATCCTCGGTCTTGTTTTTGACAAATAGTCTTGGGTGAATGATTTGCAATCATTTCACTAAGAACGTGTGGGAGGAAGGAAATGGCCAATTCGTGGCACATGTTCATCATGGTTTGGTTTCTATTGAATGCTGCACTATTTGTACATGTATGGATCAAGTCGTGTTCCATCTCAGAAATGCTCTTCTTCTCTGAGACGAGTTTCTGTGAAGGTCGGGCGTTCACAACAACATTATTCCATCATTTTGAAATCGTGATGACCACAAGCACAATTCAATGGAGCGATGACCATAGAACAAACGAGAGTCTGGTGAATATCAATATCGTAATCCTCCAACTTACATATTGCGCCAGTCCAACAACCAATTGGCAAACCTTTTGTTGTGAATATTCGAGAGGAACGGATGCTCCGTTATAATTATTTAATTGTGCAGAAGCGCATTGTTGAAACATGCTGATGATGATCACCACGACCACCAACATAATATTGAATGAATTTGTTGTGCACAACATGTTGATGATGATGAACACAAATAAATATATTATGAATAATATTGAAAAAAGCGGATGGAAAGATGGTGAGTATATACTACTCTCAGATCAAGAATTCGGTTCTTGTTGATCGTTTTTGATGATGGCGGCTTGAAAGCAGTGTGCTAAAAATCTGAAGAGAACAAAAAAAACGGTTGGCCCTCTGGATAAATGTGTGATTTTGTTTGAAGATGGTATTTCCATATTCGTGCACGAAAGGGCTGGTATTATTATAATTCTTGTTAAAAAATCTCAATCTCATGTTTTATTAATACGCGAGAATGAGGAGCACCGTCTGTTCATAACCAAGAAATATATACAACCATGTCTTCTGGATTAACATGAAATCTAGTCTGTCCAAAACCATGAAGAGCCCTAGTTTTGAAAACTGCAGCACCATTTAAAAAAATATTCCTTCAGCAAGAAAATGACGTCGCCGTATCTTTTGCTCTCCGATTTTGCAAAAGGGCTGTGATTATTAACGAGCAGCACTCTTGGCCACTTTAAAATTCCCCTACTTTTTTTCACCTAATATTGAATGGCAATAATTTCGAAGGAGATGATAATTGTTGCAATTCCGTTTTGTGATGATAGTAATGAGGAGTATTTTTGTGTGTTTTAGCAAAACGAAATCAGATGCGTTGATTCTGCTCAAGTTATGAGCTCAAGCATAATGAAACCTCAATTTGGAAAAATTTCAATATGAACTAGTTTAGCAAATCACACTTTGAAAAAAATGTCAAAAGTCATTTGTCGTTTAGAAGGAGAGAGCTCATCTCTCAGCTCATCAAACATTGAAAAACTTCTTCTAATACTTGAAGAAAATACATCTTTTGATAGTCTTGTGAAAGATATCAAAAACAAAGCCAAGAATTTAAACTTTACAGACAATGTGTGCAACGATTTCCGAATCAAGTATTTCGACGAAACTGCTGAAGAAGAAGTTTGTATTTCCTCTGATCAAGACGTTAGGGTGTTTTTGGATCAAATTAAAAAACCCAAACACAAAGAAAGAAACAAGGTACTCTCATTCAAAATTCTTTCCCCATCCAACAACAGCAAAAGGGCATCAAGCAATCATGCGTCTGAAGGTGTTATTACTGCAGCGAACAGGACCGGTACAAAGGACTCCAATTTTCCTCGCTCTTCCTTCGGTATCCAAACAATACAGCCACCACAGGACAACCATGATAGCGTTCCAACTTCTCGAAAAGACCTCAACAGTTCAAGACCTGGTGATAAA